CTTTGGAGAAATCAATCACTTATTCAACCGATTACTTCCGATTACACAAACCATACGTAATTTATCATTAGGATTTAATTGGTAACGTACTCGGAAACCTCATTCGCCGCCAGCACAGATTTAAAGAAACTCCATGAGGTGAAAGCAACACTTGCCAGCGCCAAACTTTGAACGTTGTCTCCTACGCGGAACATGTTTTCAAGAGAACCGGAAAACTACACTGACTGTAGACAAACTGAGTCGTATTGGAATACAGGAAACTGCAATGCAAGAAACACACTCTTTCGAAACTAGTGCTGTGACCGCTGGGAACCACAGCTCTCCTTGTACATAAGATATTCTGCACTGGCAGACAGTAGAACGGATGTAGTAAGGTGCAAGTAGTCCTTGTATACTGGAGCAACGTATGCGACGCAATCATTTTGGCCAGGTTTAAAGCCAGTTACAAGAGACCTGACTTGACGGTAATTGGTTCTTATACCTCTGTCGATTCTGTAGTAGAGACAGAACTGGAAGAATTACATGCCACACTGCGTCTGATGCTGCGACAGTACCAAATCCGTGATATCTTGACTACTGTGCGGGATTTCAATGCGAAAGCTGGAACAAAAAATGAACTACTTAGATGCCTGGAATCAGAAGATATTGGCGAGATGAACGCAAACGGTGGGCGACTGGCATATCTGTGTGAAATGCACGATCAACTTGTTGGCGGCACACGATTTGCTCACAAATCAGTATATAACATCGTACGATACTCGCCGATGGATCAACGAGAAACCGGATTGACCATAACCTCATTACCAGAAGTCGTCGAGCAAGCGTACAAGATGTCAGGTGCACAGAAGCGTTAAATGCGGCAGCAACCATGCACATGTTAAAGTCAAGTTCCGATCCTTAATTAGCCGCCAAATATCCAACGCAAAGTCGATATGTTTAAATGCCCGGAAGTATATGAAGCATTGGTGATATGCTTACTGTATGATTGTATATGTTGATGTATGTATGTTTGTGTGTATGCATACATGTATGAATTTATGTATGTACGTATGTACGCTTGTATATACATATAGAAGAGAGAAGCTAGAATATCAAACTAAAGTAAAAGACTGACGGCAAACAAGGCGGTTAAGATGGTGGAGTCCTCGCCAACGAATGGACGATCGTCGTGTTGCCAAGCGAGTACTAAATGCAAAGTCTAATGGCAGGGGGCCGAACGAAAGGAAGGCTTTCAACAGGATAGAAAACTCTTAAGGCATCGAATGGACTAGCAGAGAGAAGGTGAGCACAGATTTATTAGATCCATGTGGAATGTTTATACGGCAACAGACGTGATTTGCAAAAAATAATAAAAGGTGACATTTCCTTTTTTTACACTTTACGTTTTCTCCACTTCAATCCGGCATCAATATATTTTGAATATTATGTATAGGCGGAGGCACCAAAAACTCCACTCATGGACTCTACCCCAGAACATCAAGGTGATGTCGTTTCTACGTCTACAGATCGTGGCGTTTGGGCTTTAACATTTCTTTGTTTAACCGAATTAGGAGACCCAGTCTTGCGCACGATGCACTGCAGGCGCCTAAATACCATGGAGCCGTGGTCTAGTTAAATGCTCCCCCCCCACAAAGCTATTAGAAGCAAATTGGCGGTGTAAAGAAAAGAATTTTTCTTTCTTCATACTGTAAGTTTTTGCCGTTTTGACGTGGTAGCGATATATTTTAAATATAAAAAGTGATACTGTTCCTGCTTTAGTGACTGTTGTACCTTATTCTAGCATTTTAAAAAACACATGATTGGTTTCTTGGCAAAAATAAGCGGAAATTTCAGCGTCGACTGTCGGCTCAAGTTTTCATCGGACGAACCGTTTTCGTGAATCGAATTATGCATGTATATAGAGGGACGGTGGTGTGAGGGAGGGGCGTCGAGGGATTGGTGTTCAGATAAATAGCTTAGACAATTTTGAAAAGCAAACATTCACACAAGGCCTACCGGCGTATGGCTCCAACGTAGGCGCCAGCAGGGGATACGAATGCGTGTGGTGATGCGTGTGCAAGTGCCGCTGCACTGGCGGCGACCGGGTTGTTTTGACGCAAGAGCTGTTATAGTCGGCCACGCCGCCGCTGCCGCTGCCGCGCAACGCGACGCTGGACGCCGCGACGGCATTTAGGCACATGTCCCGTTCGCTCAGCAGCTTCGTACCGCCGCCAGAAGATGCGGAAGTCCACTTGCCGTCGTTGGAGGAGTTCAGCCGCGACAGAGGCACAACTTTCGAAACCTGGTGTTCGGCAGCGGCGGCGGCGGTAGGTAGTTGTGTCGCGCCGCCGCGATGCTCGTTCAACTCGTGGATCTTGTGCTGAGGCATGTGATGGATGGCCGCCGGCGCACAGGACGTGATCAGAGCCGACGACGGCATGAACGCACTGGTGCTGTGCGCGTTGATGCTGCCGACCGGGGGGAACGTGGTGGCCATCATGCCGGACGTAGCGTACATCGGATGACCGCTGACGTTCAGGATCAACGACGACGGGTCTAACGGAACGCCGTTGGT